GTACCTCCCGATAACGACCACTTTCCTGCGACGGCCACTTTCCTCTGTCCCCAAGGTGACCATTGTGGAGAAGTTCGATGGTTTTTATCTATTTACGTTTGTCGTGAAATTAAATCTGGGAAGCGGTAGGGGCTTATAAAGGGCTTAGGTAACTTACTCCCCCATTTATGATACATACATTCCACAAGTAACATAACTTGCGCCTTTTTCGTCTTTCCTCGGCATTCGTAGGTGCCGCGGTCCGTTCTATTGACCTTGCTGATCTCCAGATACTTAAGACTTCCATCTGCTCGCACATGAATTCTTTGTGATGAGTCACTGGTTATTTTTCGTCCGCTGGAGTCAAACCATCCAGTGAACGCTTCGTCTGTCACCGAGCAGTTAATACTGGTTTTGTCGCCCTCGGGGGCATTATGTCTTGCACTCACTGAGACAGCACCCTCTGGATGAAAGGAAAATAATTCGTTAGTAAAAGTCGCAGGAAGCGGCACAGTATTAAGAGCACGAAAACAAGAGGAATTTTCTCTTGACGAAGAATAATTTTAATTAAGTCTTACTTTGAGGGTATTTACTTGAACTTGCATAACTACTAGCTACTACTTGCGGAAAACATTTATGCATGCTAGACATGCTAATGGAGGGATTTTGGCCAAGAACAGCGCACTCCATGTGATCATGACGTCTCAGATTCTGCACTCGACGTCAGAAGCGTTTGGCGGGATACAGTTTCATTGTTACTACATGACGATCCCACGGTCCGTTGAAATGGCTTTTTTTCAGGCCATTGCACTTACCGTAGCTGGTTTCATTCACCTGATTCAAAAAAAGTGACCACGTCACGACAAGCATCTCTTGGCACTGTCTTGGAACGGATGGCCACAGTTTGCAGCACAGCTGTTGCAATTTAAATTTCTCAAAAGTACCAAGTTCAAGGCAAATCTTTTCCATGCGATGGATTTTGCATCTGTCGAACTCTTCGCTGCAACATATCTTGGATTGTATCTCGCTAGAAAGTGCGAAACTTAACTAACTTTTAAACAAACTGTGAAGCAATTTTCCCGATCCCAAGGGCAGATATATACTCATCATACGATCATGAAAACCGTCATCACGTGATCACTTTTTTCTTAATCACGTGAATGAAACCAACAGTGCATGAAAACGGCTAACCTGCGTCGCAGATGGAAAATTTACCCGCGGTAGGTTGCGTCTGCGACGCAGGCTAGCAAGCGGCCTGAAAAAGAGCCATTTCAACGGACTTCTGGGATCAATAGTACGTATCATGTGACCTCGAATGAGAGAATCAGAGCGCGCTGTTGGAGAAAAAATTCCAGCTACAACAGCTTAGCTTATCTTCATCGACAATTCACTACCGTCACTGAATCATTAGAATGCTTAAAATTCTTTCACTTTATCTTCATTATGGACTAGGAAATTTTGAGGTACCGTACCGGTAGTTTTCTTGAATTATAGCTCAGTAATAAGTGACTTGGTTTCTCTTCTTGTCTTAATTGCCAACTTGTACCCAACCAGGTCATAAATCAACTGAGAGAAGTCTCTCTTTTGCTCGAGGAATATCCGCCGCAAAGAACGCAAAGATCTGTATTTTTTTTTCTCGATCTTTATCTTACAATGAGCGACAAAGATTAATTGCGTGGTTTTCGTTATCTTCTAATTTCAGTAACCTTTTACCCTCTAAGTCAATCTCTGATCTACGCTATGCTTGTTAGCTCAAACTATGCGCGCGCGAGGAGCTCCCAGCGCCTGCGTATCCTCGCGCGATGTGTTCCTTTTCACTATTCTCGCACGATCGCGCGATTCCGCGATTCCGCGTGACGAGAAAGTTCCCATTATGTCAAAGTCACGTGTGACGGAAATCATTTCTATGACGAAATACTGAAGTTTATAAATGGTTTGTGGCACGCCCGATACAGCTGTTCTGACAGATGAACAAGAAACGGTATTGAATTACGTCACTTACAAAGCATTTGCGTGACGTGTTTGCCTTATCTTGTCACTTCCTTTTCGTTTAAGCCATATCACCAAAAGCTCAGGAACTAATTGCTCATGGCCATTTCAACGACAGAAAAAAAAATACCAATAAGAATTTTAATTTTCCCTCAAATGATATCAAAATTTTGCGTTCTGTTATTGGGACGATCGGGCTGTTCTTCGCATGTTTTTCTGATTTTATCAGGCCAGCCAATTGAGCTGTTTCAACAGATGCATTAAACCTTCGCTTTCTTTATCTATGACAACCCAGACTACAAGAGCTTTAAATTATGATCTGCCTTGATCTACCGACCTTTTTAGCTTCTCCACGCGATAAAGCATTCTTTCCCTTGCGCCAATTCTCAGTCGTCAACATGCGTTTTAGGCAATATTTTCATGATATTTGACACAGCTTTATTTCTCGTACAGTAAATACACGACTTACCGCATTTCATTATCCAGAAGCAGGAAATTAACGCCACCAACATTCCTCTTAATAACGGCTCGCTCATTCTTTGACTTGGGGTAAAGCTCCTAGAACATAACTTTGAATAAATAATCAATTATTTTTAAACAAGCGTTAAGTCTTGTATATGCGCGTGAGCGATATTTCGTAACAGTATAAAACACATGGGTGGATATTACATCTGTATAATATTGCACCGATAATGACGTGTTTTCCGGGGGTTTAAAGTCAAGCTGCGAAATGATGTTCCCATTAGAAACTCATGTTAACATGACAGATATGCGAGGATCTCACCGAAATAAAAATAACAAAACTACTCTGCTTGCGTTAACTGATACTAAAATAACACAAGCTTAAATCCCCTTGACAATTTTTGTTTTCTCTAGCACGCTTGACGAAGCTGATGAAGCCTATATAAAGAATATAAATGTTTCATGCATTGGTTGATCAATAATCATTCGCGAAAAAGTCATGAGCTCAAATATGGAAACATTTTTACATTGTTTAATTTGTTACAAACACAGTCTAAAATTAATCGGGGAATTAAACACTTGCCGTTTTTCAGCCTTTCTTCTTGTGCCAACGTTGTGACTCAAGACATGTTCACACGATGTTTTATCACGTGTGGTCTCGAGGAATTTTTTGGGCTAAACATTACCGCGCAGATTATTGGTCTTTTAGTGTTGCCGATATATAGTGCATGTCTCTTATTGATATGTTACTTTAAAAAACTGTGATTTACGTAAAAGAAAAAGCTGCGAGGAAACCCCGCCCTGGAATTTTAATCTTCTTAGAAAAATGGTGCTCAGTTCGTAGTCCAGAAATGAACACAGCAAGATGTTTTACATGGGCGGATCCAGGGGTGGTTCGGTCGGGCCCCCGTAAACTGAAATGATTAATCACGCCTAAAAGCGTTTCGCTTCTGATGAAAACCTTAACTGGACAAACGTCGCTAACAAATAGTACACGTTATCTTTTGAAAAAAATGACTGACTTCAAAAGGGCAAAAATAACATTGATGATTATGACGATGTCGTGAAGTCAAAGAATTGCTGAACGACAACCTCGGAGATCCCATTTTTGAGGAAACTTTTAAAAGCGTGATTTATTAAAGCACTTATCGTTTACTCTAATTTTAGTTTTATTTAGTAAATTGGTTTCGATCATGATTGTAAGTACCTAAGCGCTGCCCTTGTTTCCGCTGCTCAAAACTTTTTAAGCTAAAGTCGAGCAAAATGAGTAATGAATATCAACAAGATGCGGATTAAAAAACATCTCTTAAAAAGAGAATTAAGTTTAAAATCCAGGACTCTTAAAAAAGTGTAATGAGATGCATAACTGCCGCTTGGTCGAGAAACAGGCTTTGGGAATAGGTTGGTTCGGGGGGGGGGGGGGGATGGGTTTGGATGGGGGTTAACTGATGGCTTAAAAGTGTCGTCAAAATTCTAATTGTCAGGTGAGAAATAAGGCGTTATTAACTAAGAGATAAGATCTGAGATCTGCAAACTTTAATTAAGGGTGCGTTCCTTTAGGGTGATCTGGATCAGGATCAGTGATCCAAGATCACTCGGATCATGATGTATCAAAGGAACCGATGAATCTGTGACCAGAGTGGATTCATCGCTTCCTCTGATGTACCATGATCTGAAAGATTTTGGATCACTGATCCTGATCCAGATCACCCCAAAGGAACGCACCGTACTGGTAGCTTAGAAATGGGATGAAATCAGTTTAATCGCTCAAAATTTAGCTAATCAATTCGTTTTCAGCAATCCCATCAGACCCTCAAACAGGGAAAGGATTATGTTTACTCGATCGCATTTCGTCGAAACCCAATCGAAATATGCTGCATGCTCATTATTCAACCAATCGGGAGCAAAGCATGAACCAATCATAGCTAGGCTTGCGTGTATTTTCCCGCGCTTGGCTTTGCGGCCATTTGATTGCGGGTTACGCTTCTCACTTCCATGATCCAGTTCTGAGCATTTGATTGGTCCGTTGTGCTTACTACCAATGTCGCGATTGGCCACGTGTGATAGACGAGTGAGTTCTGTTTAGTTTTTTCGACATTCATGAATTAAAAAACTCGCCACTTTTGTTATCAAATTTAGAAGAGCAGCAGCCAAATGTTTAGGCTTTTCATATTTTGTGATAATTTGACGTTTTCGATATTTTGAATGAATTACTGGTTATTGTTATGTCACTCTACCCTAATTATAACGCTTTTTGATTTCGCGACTTCGTTAATTTCGATAAGTGTCTGTGTGGTTTCTTTGCTCATAACACAGGGGATCTTGTAGCGAGATTTTAACTGGTCAACTTTGCAAGTACTTTCCCAGTTGCGAAAATATTGAACATTACTTTTCGATTTTTCTAAAAAACCATATCTGTCATAACTTGGCGATGCACATTATTTACTTATAATTTCGTACCAAAACCTTGCAGTTTCTGTTTGTTATTCTCGTACAAGAGCGTTTAGATTAACAAAACAAGGAGATTTGTTAGCGTTCGTTCCATTAGAATTTGACCGGGCGAAACCGGTTTCTGTAAGATAAATTACTAAGGGATGTTATATCAGAACTTTATTTGTAGTTGAGAAACAGATGCTAGACTTTGATAGTTAGAAACAGCGATGTAATTTCAATCAATAAGCCATAATGGTGGGCGGAGGATCAAAGAAATTTTCATAACATTTTACTGAACGAAGATTGAAAAAAGTCAATCACGACTGACCGAACTACCTCCAACGTAATTCGTCTTTAAATAGCAACCGTCAAACAGACGACCCGCTCACCTTTTCTTATGAAGGGCAAGTATGACATATGCAGCTCTCCACGCCAACAAAGGTACACCATTCCCTGTTCACTCTAAGGCATCCCTGAAGCAGTAAAACAACAGATCTCTTGTCATTCGTGAGATAAATCTTTTCCTCTGAAGTGAAGGGAAATCACTAATTGACATGTTTTAGCTCTGATGATCGCTTGAAATGCGCCAAAACATGACACAATACAACTTCGTTATTTAAATACGGTGTAGATATCATTAATTATCAGCTGCCCCTATAGAGATAACAGGTGTCTTATTATGGGAACCTGTGCAATAACAAGATATGCACCGGGTGATAAAACCTCGTAACAAATGGGAAAGCAATATTTTGGAAACCGTGTTTGTTGATGATAAGACTTCACATAAGCTTTGTTTGAATCGAATTTATCTTTCCTCGCTCGCTTCGCTTGCCGTGGGGAGTTATATGGACGTTTCTGCGATGTTTTTCAACAACTCAGTACGACATGGATTCGCGCGATATTCGCATACCATGTGAATTAGACCTGATACGAAGCACACTTTTCCTGTTATGAAATACAGGCTCACGTATTAGCTATCGCAAACCAGATTTTAAAGAGGTCTTTGTAGCTTTCTGTAGGAAACTCCCTAAGACTCTACAACCAAAGTAAAATCTCGGACTAATATTTTCTGTGTCCATTGCTGTTTATAGCGTTATCAAAACTAAGAGGCGCATATCGGACCATGTTGTAGTACTGTTTCACGAGTCAACAACGATTTTTCATTCCCTTACCTATGTTTCAAGGCATTTAGCTCATACCATTTCAAGTCGAAATGCTGTTGTATCGTTCTCTTCACTCACTAATTGAAATCATCTAAAACAGCGCCATTGTTCAGCTAGTCTGACCAGCTTCCCATCCAGCCCTGGCAGCCCTTCAACGAACTGTGTTCATGAATCCAGATTTTTGGTTTGTGTCTCTTCGCGGTTATTAAGACCACTTGAAAAATTAACAGAACACTCAGGCCAGCATCGACTCTTGGCGTCGAGGTCCGTAGCTTTTAATTTCCCGCGTGTTTTCTCTAACCGCTTGCTGGATACGCGCGCGTTGCAGTGTCTATGTTGCTGCTGGTACTTTTCTCGCGCGATGGTTAAATAACAGCTACGATGCGGCGAAGCCACGAAAATGTGCGGCGAAGTCCTCAGAAAAATAGGAGAAAAATGCGCCCAGCCCTTTTTCGTCGCTCGAGTATTTTGACTACAGTATTTTGTCATCGTCCCGGGCCAACGAAATTGCGTGTAGTCGCCGAGCACGCAGCCCACTTAAAAATTAATTCAAGCGCACTGAAGTCTTCATGACGATGTGATACAGGGCAAGAATATCTACTGTCACCTGTGTTTAGTCAAGCGATTAAATTTCTTTGAGATCCGTCTCATGTCAACCACAACAAGTACACTTATGTTCCTTTCAATAAGTTCAATTGGGACATTCCAAAGAACGTTTAAAAGGTAATTATGTAAGACCATTCAACAAAGCTTTTTCTTCTCGAGATTAATTTGGCTAAATTGGTCTGCCCTCAACAAAACAGTTTCCCCGCTGTTTTTGTAACACGGAACCCCACGCAACACACAAAATGGCCAAAGCTGGTGTAATTCATTGACAAATCAAAATGAACAAAAAATGCAAATGCAAAAAATGGAGGAATCTACTAAATATCCGTGCGTGTTACATCGAAACATCGCGTGGAAAGATGCACTGGATATAAGAAGTCAGACGACACTCATAGCTAATACTGACATATTCTGAGAAAAACCGAGAAGCAAGACTCTGTCTAACCAGATATCCTCGTCAATGTTACGAAGGAGGCAACTCTCCCGCCCCATATACCTCAGCTCCTGAATAGAGATTCTAGCTATAGCCGTTTGCCGTACCCAAATTGCTATTAGCCAATTAGAAGCCGTGTCTACTGTCCTGATATTTTGCGATATCAAGTTATTGACCTGATATGTCTTCGATATCATAGTGACTTGGCTGAATTTGGGTACGATTTGGTAATTACTTATCTGTACCTTTCTTTGGTTCGCTTCGGCGGCAAAACATGTTCGTCAAAATACGAACCACGGCTAAGCCAAACTCGCTTGATATACTACCGAAGCGTACCAAACAGGTACCAGTACTGAGGTACTAGGCCTTCTGTAGCCTTCTATACCGTCTAAAGGTGCTAGGAAGGGAAGGATAAAACGAAAGATCTAGAGTCCTCCCTGATCATTTACACTCACAATTATCTCTGTTCTGTTCCCCTCTTGCTAGAATTTAAAACTCCCGGCTTCATGAGGTACGTGTTCCGCTGCGTGAACACGTACTGAAACATTCGATCCAATTTTCCTTGAACAACTATGTATTTGTTTGTGTTGATGAAATTTAAATTGTTTTTTATGGGTTTTTGGACAAATAATAATTAGTAAAAAGACATAGTGAGAAAAAAAAGACTAGAAATTTCTGGCAAATTGGTCGTTCTTTATCTCACGTGAAGAAAAAGACATTTTACCTGTTCAATTAAGCTGCTTGGCGTTTTCCTGAGATACAAAAAAATATGTTAAAATCACCATTCCTAATAATTCGGCTTTATATTCCCTACAGGGCGAAAGTTTTGTTTTGTTTTTTTAATGCCTCCCGGCTCTTTTTAAAACTTGATTATTCTGTGAGGATTTTTAGGAAAAAAGACGGGGTAGCCAATGCTATAATAGTGAAAAAAAAAAACAGAAGTGTTTTTGCAAATGTTTTCTCATCTTTACAACAGTTGCCAAAAAATCATAAAGATTTAAATAAACTGTCTATCAAAATGGGCGAGTGGAACCTGCAATTACCTGGCATGGCTGCTACTTAAAAATGAAAGGAAAAGATGAAAATAAAAAAGAGTTTGCTTGCATTCAATTACTATAGATAGCATATAGATTAAACTCCATTACTGTCGCTATCGAACTCACGTCTGTTCGGCTATTTTCAATATTTATCCTTATTTTTACTGCGAAAATCGTGAGCTGTATTAGCAAGACAACTAGATTGAGATGTGACTTCTATGCTGATAATGATTTGCATTAGAAGAAACTGGAAGTTCGCTTTATTATCCGGATGAAATAGCGAGCCATCCAGTATGGCCTTGAAAGCTTTTTATACGCGTGTCAACTTAACAACAGTTTTCGACCATCTAATCCATCTTTCGATCTTTCCGTAAGATCTTGCTCGCGAATAAACGCGACATGAAATCTCGATGAATTAGAACCTACTCATAAAATTGCCGTCCCTTTTGTGTCATGGCCGTAACATCAGGCAACGTCGGTCACATCTCACAACTAGAACAACAAACTCACTTCGATCGAAATCGTGCGCTTAAACTCAACACTCCGCTCAATAACTTAGCACATAAATCTTCATTACTCGAAAACGGTTTGCGCTTACAAAAAGCGCCGTGGTACATCTTCAAAGTGTTAAAATATTCATCCGTTAACTGATTTCTAAATACTCTATTTCAACTCATTCGCCTATTCCATTCAAACAAATGAATTTTCTCGACCAGGAGCTCACGATAAATTTTCAAAAATTCAAAACAGACTGCTTTTTCACTTACTTGATCGCTGATTATTTTTTAAGCGTGCCTCCCTAACGTCACAACGTTCGAAGTATTCGAAAACATTTGCGTAAATGACTGGTGGGTTGTTAAAATTATTTCCCCTGTTTGCTTGACTCCGAACAGTCATTTGCATACGAAATTGTGTGTGCATATAATTTTTAAGCAGCAAATTGACTGTTGTTTTCACTGTTACACCTATATTTACTGAGTCAACATCACTTCGGGCTAAACTTATGTTCATGTTTTTACACGGTACAACCGCTCACTTTAGAAGGATCGGAGCTAATACAACACCGTAAATACAAATCTGCCGTTAGTGATATAATTTTTTTTTTGGAATAAAATTATTCATGCAATTTTTTCCGTTAAAAAAAATCTAAAATTCAAATCTGGGAAAAGATGTTTCCTGTACTTGACTTTTCTCGAACTTCACTTCCGGGCACTGTTACTGTTCGTAACCAATCTCCCCTCCTCACATTTTACTCTGGGGTGCAAGTACCCTAGGATTCAAGCTATTAAATCTTCATGGAATTTTCACTTGACGCTTTTGTACAGTGGCCCACAACTGTCACGGCAAAACAAAAAGTCACGGCACTACAAACTTAACTCACGGCAAGATAATGTTATCTGACGGCAAAACAAAATCAACTCACGGCAGTACATCATTAATTCACGGCAAAAAGAAATTAACTCACGGCGAGCAGTGGGTTACTGTTACACGACATACCATTTGAAAAGGAAATAACAACCGCTGACCAACTCGTTTTCTTTGTTTTGCCGTGAATTAGGGGTGTTCTGCCGTGAGTTAAATTCGTTTTGCCGTGAATTAATGTTTTTTTTTGCCGTGAGTTAATTTCGTTTTGCCGTGAATTAATGGTGTACTGC